CAGCCAGCAAGCACAGCCTACTGGGTGACGATGGGCTGCGAGCTGACGCCAGAATACTCGAGCACACGTGGCGAGCGATACAAGTCGACGAGCAGCCGAAGCTGTCTCAGGGGGAAGCCAGTCTTCCGAGCGGCGTCTAGCAGCACATCGTGTCTGACGCTTTCAAAGGCTTTGCGGAGATCGAGCAGGGCCGTGCGCCGGGTCCCGCGCACAACTTTTGGTTGGCAGCCCATTCCGAAGAGGCAGCCTGGACCCACACAAGCCGCTCCGACCCCCTCCCCGACGTAGACCACCAGAAACTCCGAAAGTTACTCTGCTGCCACTTCAGAAGTAGGGGCCTGCGAAGGCGTGCCTGCGCGCGCGCTAGCACGTGCAGCAGTGCGATGGGGCGCAGCCCACCTGTGCGCTCGGTTAAAAACACGATTTTGCTCCAGCAGCTGGGCCAGGCCAGCTCACGCTCGATGAGGAGGATGAGGAGGCGGAGGGGGGCGAGGCCGTCGTCGCAGAGGCCGAGGAGCTGGCGAGGTCTGATCTGATCGAAACCCGTGCCTGAGGACGCCTTGAAAGTCTTCAGGCAGGCACGAAGGCCGTCAACCGAAAAATCTGGCAACGGCGGCCCCATGTCGACTGGCCAATCGAACGGGGCCTCCTCCCCCCCCACCCTCCAGAACGAACTCCACTCCTCCACTAAGAGTAGCATCTCCTGCTGCAAAGAGGCTGGAGGAGGTCTAGCCTCGCCAGCAGCGCTGAAAGAGGGGCTGGACTGCCAGGGCGTCGGGGGCTTGCTGACCGCAAACAGGGCGCCGCCTCAAGCGTCGCTGTGCTTGCGGGCCCAAGTCTTCCATTCTTGGTCCCGCTTGCGCTCGGCATCACGCTGCAGAGCAGTGGCCAGGTCGCGGGCCTCTGAGCACATAACAGATGCGAGCGACCAGTCTAGGTACCTGGCACCGTGCAGTAGGGCGCGCCATGCGCCGACGTGTCGAGTAGGCAACCAATTCGAGGCTGTGGCCTGCTGTCGCGCTGCCGCGAGCGTGGCCGCCCTGTCACCAGCCGTCTGAAACTTAGCAAGATCGCCCAAGATCGGCACCAACCCTCGGGACCAGACGGCAAGGGCCGAGGTGCGAAGGAACAGGGGGGGACGAGGCACAGGCGCGCGCCTGCTCTGCGCAGACAGCGGCTCACTACGGCCCACGTAGCGCACGGCCTGGTCGTCGGGGATCTGGTATATCTCGGAAAACTCCTGCTCCACGACCGTGACGAACTGCCTCCATGCAGCCTCGACGTCAGGCTGCTGACGCAGGAGAGCCAGCACGGGGTCCCAGCGCTGACTGGGCGGATAGCAACCTGCTGGCAATTCTTGGGGGGCTGCCTGGGCACTCTGACGTGCGGGAGCTGCGGGGTCTGCTTCGAGCCCTGCATCGTGAGCTTGACTGGCTTGTGGTCCTGCGTGCCCACGCCGTTGAGCACACTGATGATGGCGCCGTAGTGCAGGCCGTGCGAGACCACGTAGAAGTCCAAGACCCGTGGCGCCTCACCTCTGGTGCAGGTGGGTGCGACGGGCGCGAGCACCGTAGCCTGGAGGGACTCAGTCCAGCCAGTGCCCTGCAGCTCCTGGGGGGTGATGTTCCAGTCGCCCGTGACCACGAGAGGCATCCCGTAGCGATAGAGGATGCCGCCGATGCGCGTGAGGATCTGCCAATTCAACTGCGCCACGCCCTGAGAGTCATGGAGGTGCAGGTTGACCCAGAGCACACCTCCTGGGCAGACGGCCGAGAGATGCACCATGCCGACTCTAGCCTTCTCGATGCAAAACTCTTGAACAGGGAGCTCTGCCATGCCAATACGCCTGTGCACCATCTGAAGTAGACCTCCCGTAGTGCCGCCTCGAGCCGTGACGGCTGCTGGCAGCCCCTTGGCTGCCCATCCTAGCACGCGGAGTCGGGCTTCCCATGCTTCAACTTGCGCCAGGTGGTGTTCCTGGACGCACACTGCGACAGATTCGAGCAATGGCTGGGATTCGAGAAGGCACTCGAGACCTAGCCTGCCCGTGACATTGGCCGTGACGAAGTCCCACGATCTGTGGCTAAAGCGACGATCCTTCAGTGCGAGCCCGCTTGGCCTGATGCTCTTGCATGTGCCGCATGAGCTCGTTGAAGGTGGACTGGGAAATGTCTTCTGCTTTGCGTCGAGCACTGTCACCGCCGTCGTCAGCGCCGTCCTCATCGACGGGCATGAGGCTGAGGAGAAGCAGCTTGAGCAGGTGCGGCACCTGCGGCGGCCCGCCCCGCTTGTAGCTGCCCCGTGGCCTCCGCGGGCGCCGCGTCCGCGCCTGGCTCCCCAGTGGCCTGGGCAGGCGGCGGGGGGAGCTTGGCGCGGATGGACTCCGCGAGCTCACGGAGCTGCTTCGCCTCGTCTGGCACGGCTGTGTCCAGGGATGCCGCCATCGCCTCCAACTGCGCCAGCTGGTCAGGGACGGGCACCTGGGACACGCCAGCCATCGCGCTGTAGGCCTCTGCGGCCTTGGCGGCGGCGGCGGCTGCCTGCTTCTTGAGACCCTTGAGCTGGTCACGGCACTTCGCCATGTGCTGCATGGCCTTGACTGCGGCGTCCTGGGCTCGGTCGAAGCGAGACTGGGTCTGCTCGACCTGCTGTCGGAGCGAGTCTGTGGCCTGACGCGCGGCCTTGGCCGTGGAGGTGGGGGTTCCAGCGTCGAGGGCACGCTTGGCCGCCACGAGGTTGATCTGCTTGGCGGGCCAGCCCTCGGAGAGCTGCTTAAAGTCGGCCTCGGGCATGCGCGCGTAGACGGCGACGAGCTCCTCCGTGAGTGCAGCCTGCTGCGGCTGCTTAGGCGCGCTGGGCGGTGGGCCCTTGCGCCAGACTCCTTGAACGGGTGCAGCGCGACCGTTGCCGCCTGGGGAGGGGCCCTTGGGGGCGTGTCCACAGATGCGGCAAGCAGAGCGCCATGCGAAATTGCCTCGGTAACCACAACGCTTGCTGGGGCAGGTCCAGCAAGAGAATCCATCCATGGTACGCAAACTTGACTGCGAGAGGCCCGCAGCCGTGAGGGATGAAACCTCAGTACGGTACGCGGACTCCTTGAGACCGTTGAAAGCAGTTGGGGCCGCGAATCCCCTTGCCAAAATAACTCAGTCCGCTTGAGCAATGCCTCCGGACTTGAGCCAAAATGGCTACGGACCCTCCTCCTCCTCCTCCTCCTCATCCTCCTCCTCCTCCTCCCCCTCCTCCTCTACCTCCTCCCCCTCCTCCCTCTCCTCCTCCTCCTCCTCCTCCTCCTCCTCCTCCTCCTCCTCCTCCTCCTCGTCCTCCTCCTCCTCATCCTCTTCCTGCGCCTGCCGGAATCCAGCGCGCCTGTGCGCGCCTGTTCCACAGGTCGCCTCCGATCCGTACTGCGGCGCGCAGGTCTGCGAAGAGGAGGGCCGCCGCGCCCTGCGCTGCGCGCCGCTGCGCAGGGGATTGGGCGCTCTGCGGGGCCTCACGAAGGAACACTTCTCCCGCGGCCTCGGTTGGCGCGTTCACGCGGGGGCACCCGGTCTGCGCGGCACCCCCTGCACGCCTGTCGTGCCCCGCGAGGGAAGCCAGCGCGCACGTGCGCACGCCTGCGCCACAGGTCGCCCCCGATGCGTGCAAGACGAGGGCCGCGGCCTGCGCCGCGCACCACTGCGCGGGGGGGGGGGGGATGGGCGCTCTGCGCGGCCTCGGTCGGGCCCGTCGCGTCACCGCCCCTGGGTTCATGTTGCCCCCATCGCACTTGAAGACCACATCCCAGAAATAATTTCGAGCACCTGGAAAAGTGTCGGAAAATTGTCGAAACAGTGCCGAAACAGTGTCGAACAAGTGTCTCCCAGGGCCCGACGTGTGAAAACCTCGAGTTTCGGTTCTTTTTTGCTCGAAACTACTTTTGGTGATCCAGGCTAAAGTAGGGTGGACCATCATAACCCTGGGTTGCGGGTCGGCAGCTTCTCGGATGCCTGTCGGGGCCTCCTGGGGTGCCGCTCGGGAGCATACAAGAAACAATTCCCCAATCCGTGCTTGCACTGAAGGGGCCCTAGCAGAAATTCCCCAATCAGTGCTTGCACTGAAAGGGTCCTAGAGGAAATTGAAAGATTTGTCGAACATTTCCCGCCGATTTTGGAAGCCGGCTGGGTTCCCGGGTTCTCGGTCCGGGGTTCCTGGATATTGGCTCCGGGCCGATTTCGGTGGGTTCCGGGTTCCTGGGTTCGCGGGTTCCTGGTCGATCTCCCTATCGATCTCTGTGTCGATCCCATTTCAAACCATCCACAGATTGGGTTTTTTCTCTGGTGTGATTTTGAAAATCCCTTGGGCCTTCTGGGGGGCCTCTTTGGGCCGTCGCCTCTTGGGGCCTATTGGGTCCTCTTGGGTGCTTCCGGGGGGTTTGCCGGCGGCCTCCGAGGCCATCTTGGGGCGGCTCGAAATGTCAGCTCGTGCTCCCCCTTCTGGGACTCTCTGGGGGCCGTCTTGGCTCACATTCGGAGCTGGACTAGTGAGCCAGCTTGCTGCCCTCTTGGGCCGTTGCGGGGCTCTCTTGGGCCATCTCGAGGCGAATGTGTGGGACCTTCGGTCGTCTTGAACGGCTTCCGAAACAAGAAAACAAGCATGCTAGGAATATTCGCGTTCCTGAAATGGAACGGTGCGACTATTGCCTCTCGGGCCCCTCTAGCTTGTTTCGATCGTTGCTGCACTGGCACATGAATCATACAAATAGCAGAATCACCGCAGACGATTCAACCTAAGATAGAGGATTGAAGTGCCCCCGTGCTTGCATCTGACCTCTGTGAAGCGAAGACTTGTCAGGCAAGCCGCTGGACCTGTGTAATATTTCGCGACTCCTGCTGCGCCAGCCTTCTGGGAATCAGGCGAGGTACGAACTTCCCTGTGTATAGTCCTCCTCCTCCTCCTCCTCCTCCTCCTCCTCCTCCTCTTCCTCCTCCTCCTCCTCCTCCTCCCGCTCCTACTCCTACTCCTTTTGCACGTGAGGCAGAAGCGCGCAATTCGACTATGCTTGAAACCAGTCCGGGTGAGGGATGCGGTCCACACTGGCCCTCTCCAGGAAACAGAACGCCCAGGCCGTGCCATTGGCTAAACAGGAGCTGATCTGTGCTCTAGCGCTTGCTGGAACAGCGCGGGCCAATCTAACTCTGGAGCCAGCGCCGCCGAATTCAGTTTTCGGATCAGAACTCGGGTCTCCGGCGGCCGTTCGGGACGATCTGGGCATCCCCGGAACGCTCTCGACGAGGCGCAGCCGCTGGAACGCATTCCGAGGGCGGACGGCCGCCACGAGACGACGAAAACGCCCGAAGACCTTGAACCTCGAAGTGACAGTGGACTACGTACACGCAAGAGTGACCCTAGGTCAGAGTGACCTCTGGTGCGCGGTTTTGTTGGGGGGCCGCGGGGGGGGACCAAACACGAGCGCGCAAGACACTGCTATCGCATCGAAAAGAGGGCCCGCACCAAAGGTCACTCCGGCGCAAGGTAACTCTTACGTCGAGTCTTATATTGCTCCCATCGCACTTAAGGACCACATCCCAGAATTATTTTCGAGCACCCGGAAAAGTGTCGAAATAGTGTCGAAAGTGTCGGACTAGTCTCCCCGGGCCCGACAAGTGAAAACCATTGAGTTTGGGGGTGCTTTTCTGGCGCTCGAAATTCTTGCTGGTGGTCAAGGCTGAAGTAAGTTGGAACACCATAAGTCTAGTCGAAACAAGGAGAAGGCCTTCTATTCTTCTCCAGCCCACCGCGCGCCGCCCTACACCGCGGCGTGGATGCCGAGCTCCCTCCTGTCGGGGCGGGGGGCCCTGAGATCCTGGCCTGTAGACACGCGCTTTCGCTCCACCTCCCGCAGAGAAGCAGCTGCTCGCAAGTGGCCGGGACCCGCCGCGGGGGCTGCAACGTTCATCGTGTCGAGGCGAGGATGTGTCTTTCGAGCCTTTGCGAGTGGTTTCGGCGATCCTGCCCTTCCGATTTCTTTGCGCCGAGCGATTTCGCCCGGCTTCGGGCCCCCGGGGCCCTCGCAGATCGCTCCGGCTCGAAAAGGAGCGCAGAAAGACGGGGTCTAGGGCTTGGCCGCCCAAGGGGACAGGGGGAGGGGGGAAGACGTCCTAGAAGGAGGCCGCTTGTTAGAGAGGGCGCCGGCCCTGCATCTGCAGGTGAGGACCGCGCGCCTTCTGAGAGGCAGGGTGCTTCTGAAAAGCCTTCCCCCTCCTCCCTGCCCCCCTCTGCGCGTGGCCGACCCTGAGATCCGACGTAGCGACAAAAATTACAACGTCGTTAAAATCAGCGCCCGGAGCCCCGGAGCCCATCTCTCTGCGTCATTTTTCGAGCCGGATCGATCTGTGAGGGTCCCGGGACCCGGCAAAAGGCGAAAACACCCGGCTCGAAAAGCTTGAATCGCCATGGATCTCAGGGGAAGGGCTGGGGGCGGGGTGTCTTGCCGTGCCGCCATTTTTTCGCAGCGTCGGCGGAACTCAAATTTGGACGCCCGAAATGGGTACGGACAAAATGGGTACAATGCCCAACAACAAATGTTGTCCCAAACCGACAGCGGCTGTTGGGCAAGCGGCCTTCTGTCTCAAATGGACACAGGCCGCGGCGGCGCGGACAGCGAGTCCTGTTCAAAATGAACAAGAACTGCTGTTGGGCATCGTACCCATTCTTTCCGTGCCGATCAGGAGGGGCGGCGAGAGAGTCGGGCCGATCAGGGGGGCGTGCCGGCCATGGGCGCCTGGTGCCGATCAGGGGGGCGGCGAGAGAGTCGGGCTGGCCATGGGGGTCGCTCGTGCCGTGGAAGGAGGACAAAGAGGAGGAGGAGGAGGAGGAGGAGGAGGAGGAGGAGGAGGAGGAGAAGGAGGAGGCGAGGACGAGGAGGATAAGAAGAAGAAGAAGAAGAAGAAGACACCCCCGCGGTCGCGGGTCGCCCCCTCGGGGGCCGCCGCGCCCGAGCGCCCGCGGCCGCGGGCACTCAGCGCGGGAGCCAGCGGCGTCGCCAGCTCGGCGCTCGGCGCCTCCTCAGATGAGGAGCACGAAGGAGCCGCCGACGAGCTCCGCGTCGGTCTTACCGCTTCTTCTTGCCCTTGCCCTTCTTGCAGCCTCCCGCCGCCGCCCCAGCGGCAGCACCGTCCACGAAGGGCTGCGCGTCCTCGAAGGCGACCTCGCACACCGTCGCACGGCGGCCGCTCTCAACCAGGACGCACACGAAGCCGTGCGGGTCGACGCCGTCATTGGGATCGCCGTGCACCGACCCTTGGCGCCCATCTCGAAGACGAACGCGGTCGCCGTCCCGCAGGATGTGCGGGGTGCGCCTCGGGGGCACCTCATCTGCCCACTCGTCGTCGTCGACGTCGGAGGGGAGCTTCATGTCCTCCTGGACCACCGCCTCCGCCGCCGCCGCCGCCGCCGCACCCACCACGCCGCCGTCGGCGGGGGCCCCCACGTCCACCGCCGCCGTCGCCGCTGCACCGCCACCCAGGGGCTTCTCCTCCACGACGTCCTGCAGCTGGAAGCGCGAGTCCACCTCCATCCGACCACCGCGGCCGCGCGGGCGACGGCGCCGAGGCGGCACCGCCTGGGGACCCGCGCCGACCTCGGCGGGAGGGGTGGGCTGCCCGACCAGCTCGGCCACAGCCGTGCGGACGAGCCCCTCCGCCGCACGCAGGAGGCGTGCCGAGTCACGCATCCCTCCTGCGGCGGCCAAGCCCGCGGCCGCGTGGACCGCCATCAGGGCCCCACGCGAGGCCTCCAGTGGCGCCACGGCGCGTGCCGCCTTGGTCGAACCCGGCATCGGAGGCGAGGCGGGAGGCGCGGCGCGGCGCGGCGCAGCCCGGCGGCAAGGCGACCTGATCCAGTACGGTTCTAGGACGAGGAGGAGAGGGACGAGGAGGAGGAGGAGAAGGAAGAGGAGGAGGAAAAGGAGGAGGAGGAGCTATAGAGGGAGGGGGCGGCGAGAGGGTCGGACCGGCCATGGGCGCCCAATGCTCGCCAGGCTGGCTCCTCCGAACTTCGGTCCTGGGCTCCTCGGCCGTCCATCCCCTCCTCCTCCTCCTCCTCCTCCTCCTCCTCCTCCTCCTCCTCCTCTCCCTCCTCCTCCTCCTCCTCCTCCTCCTCCTCCCCCTCCTCCCCCTCGCCCTCCTCCTGTCCTGCCCTCCTCCTCTCCTCCTCCTCCTCATCCTCCTCCTCCTCCTCCTCCTCTTCCTCCTCCTCGTCCTCGTCCTCGTCCTCGTGCTCGTGCTCGTCCTCCTCCTCCACCTCCTCCTCCTCCTCCTCCTTCGTTCCTCTCCTCCTTCGTCCTCCTGGTCCTCGAACCTCGAGGAGAATGGAGGCGGGGGGCGGAGGATAAGGGCGGAGGAGTGAGGGAGGAGTGAGGGGATGAGAAGGAGTAAAGGAGTAGGGGATGAGGAATGAGGAGAAGTGAGGGGGAAAGGAATGAGTAGGGTGTAAGTGAGGAGGGGTCAGGAATGAGTAGGGGGTGAGGTGAGGAGTGAGGAGATGAGAAGGAGTAAACGAATGAGAAGGAGCTGAGGAAGAGGAGGAGAATAATACAAGGAGGAGGATAATAATATGAGGATGATAACAACAACAAAGAAAGGGGAGGAGGCGTCGGCGTCGTCGGCGTCGTCGGCGTCCTCGGCGTCGTCGGCGGCGGCGTCGACGTGTGGGCGGGTGGCCGTCCTTGTCGCCTTCGACGCCGCCCGGGGCGCCGCCCGCGACGCCGCCCCCACTGCGCTCGCGACCGCCTCGAGCCTGCTCTCCTCGGGGACCCCGGGGGGCGCGGGCGCGGGCGCGGGCGAACGGGGCGAAGGAGCCCAAGCACAGACCTCCTGGACCTTCGCATCGGGGGCAGGCGAGGGAGGAGGAGGAGGAGGAGGAGGAGGAGAAGGAGGAGGAGGAGGAGGACGAGGAGGAGGAGGAGGAGGACGAGGAGGAGGAGGAGGAGGAGGCGGAGGAGGAGGAGGGGCGGGAGGAGGAGGGGCGGGAGGAGGAGGAGCAGGAGCAGGAAGGGGAAGGGAAGAAGGAAGGAAGGAAGGAAGGAAGGGAGGGAGGGAGGGAGGAAGGAAGGAAGGAAGGAAGGAAGGAAGGAAGGAAGGAGCAGGAAGGAAGGAAGGAGCGAGGGGGAAGTGAGGATGAGAAGACCTTCTCGGGAAGGCGGCGGGACTTCTCAGAAGCCCTCGCGCCTTCTGGGAAATTTTTGTTTGTCTTCGGGGAAGGCTTGGAAACCTGCTCAGGAGGCCGGGGGACTTCCGAACCTTCTCAGAAGGCCTTCTCCTTTTTATTTCCCCCCCTCGCTCGCCGCCGAGCTTAGGTTAGATCAACATTGGCTGGATGGCCGTTGCGTGAGGACGCACGTGCTGAAAAAGGAGAGCACGGCAGGTTCGCGTCGTGTCGACCCCGGCGCTGGTTCCTGACACTGCTGGAATCGTTCAACCTCAAGCGATCGGCCGTGTCCGAAACGTCAGATCGTGCATTATCACGCGGTTCCGGGTCGCTGGCGGCGGTCAACGTTGGAAGCCGGGGGCGGGGTCGTTGCCAGTGGACACGATACGAGCCTACTGCACATGAGCGAACATAACATGACTGCATTTAGAAGCACTGCGTGCACCAAGGGGACAAGAAAGGCTAAGAGAGGCGGAACAATTGAGAAGCCCGGAAACGGCATACCAAGAGGAACACGCAACGGCAAAGTTGCCCAAACAACCCCAATCCAACACCTAAGCCTCACATCCCCACGCCACCCTTTCCCTTTCGGTTCGGTGCCCTCACAACCTCCTGGCTCCGGTGACGGGTGGAATCTGGAGGTTGGGTCGGCAACCTCTGGAGATTACCGCTTCGGATCTCTGGATTCTACCACATTGGCCAGGGGAGCCGTCGTGGAGCCCCATGTGGGCCCATGTGCCCCCGTTTGGCTCCTAGGACCCTTCTTGGTTTTGTTTCTCGACCCTTGGCCCCTTGGAACCTAACTGGGCGAGACATGTTTGGCACCAACGCGACATTTGCTGGAACCTTGCGGTGGCCCCGTATGACCACTAATGTTGGAACAACGTTATGCGGATATGTTTTGTCGAGTCTTCACGGGCCAGCCTATAGCGGCCTTTGAGCCCCTCCACTCTCCAGCGCTAGACATCATCTGATCAAAACATTGCGTGGTGCTGGGCCTAACTGGAACCTCGCTGCGTCTCTGATTCCCCCCCGCCCTATGGGCCCTCCATTGGAGCCGCATGGAACCAGTCTTTGGCCTTACTTTAAAGATCAAAGCCCCTTCCCACAGGGCCTTTGCTTGGTGTCGGGCCCGACGGGGCCCCCACTTGACACCATGCGTGGGCTTGTCTGTGCGTTCGATAGACCCCCGCAGGGCCCTTTTTAAACCTCATTTGGAGCCCCATTGGACCCTTAGTTGGACCCCTGGTTGTGCAATCATGGGGCCCGATACTGGAGAAATAATGGGCCTCGACTTGACCCTCCCTCCTCTTCTGCCTCCCTTCCCGTTTTCGTTGTCCTTATTCTCCATATCGTCATCGTCCTGGTGTTCCTCCTCCTCCTCCTCCGCGTTCTCGTCCTCCGTTCCCTTCATGCGCTTGTCTTCCTTCCACCCCTCCTCTTCCGCCGTTCCATCCCTCCTTCTTCTGTTGTGCCCCATTGAGCCGCAACGGGAAGAACGCTTTGGATTCGCAGACATGCGGTTGGGAAGCGCAACTTCCCACATTGTGCTTCGCCCCCCTGGAGATGTCAGGGCTGGCGCCTCCCCCGACGATCAAGTCTTTTGTTTCGAATCTACCGCCATGGACTTCGAATCGCGCAGTTCCCAGGCCAAAATCTCGAGTTGACACCCCCCAGTAACTCAATTAACGATCCAATTCTAAGTGGTTTCAAAACCTGCTAGCTAGATTAGGCAAAGCCCGCCACGTTGTATAGCCCCTCTACCTTAATAGGTGTTGCATGTAACTTGCACTCCCCAAGCTAAGCCTTTTAGCACACTGCTTACGCAATGTGGCTAACCGCCCCAAAACAACATCCAACTGCTCCACCCACAAAGCAACCGTAGCGGTGATCCAAGAACAGGAGGAATATTGGAAAATAGTAAAAATAGTCAGAGGACGATGTTTCCAGTATGTTTGGTTATGTTGGTGCATTTGTTGAATATTTCTATTAGTCGTCCAAGGTTCCCCTGTAAAAGGACATGCCCGACCTAAGTCCACCCCCACCAAGCATCGATTCTCCTGAATCGATGGGCGGCTGGAGCAGGGTTCGGAGCTCGCTGCGTGCTCGACGGATCTCGAGCCCCAACCCCCGCCGCCCGTCAAGCTGCCTGAGCAAGCGGCCCCGCCGCCCATCGAGTTGCCTGAGCCGTTGATCGGCTCAGGGGGAGGAGGAGGAGGAGGAGGAGGAGGAGGAGGAGGAGGAGGAGGATTGTGCTAGGATTGTGCTACTTAGGACTTACGCAGATGGAGAGCACCACGCAAGCCGCCTTCGCCGTGCAAGTTAGGACTTACAAGGGCTGCCCTGTGGATGGACGGCGGTGCTCCCGCAAACGCGTCAGTCGAACCTTGGCCGACCGAGCTCGGGAGGGCCTGTAGCCCTCCTTCACACGGTGCGTCCACTTACACTGAACGTAGGAAGCACATCGCCCGCTGAAAACAAAACGGGGCGAGACACGAGGTGGCGTCCTCACCCCTGTGCCTTAAGGACGCGTGCTTGTCGGGCTTCGAATTCGACAGATTCTGCGCCCGACGGCCCGCACTGCGTCTGGCTTACGGCCCTGGGAGTGACGGTCCCTGGGGCCGACAGACGGGGGGGAGGCATCAGAGGAGGAGCAGGATTCGACTCGGCGGCCTGACTCGGAACTGGCCCACTGATGCTGGACGTTTCGACGTCGGTAATCGCATCGACGACTTCGGACGACATAACGCCGAGCCTTACAGCAAACTCCATGGCATCTGCTACCATGGTATACTTCTGCTGATGCGCCTGACGCTGCCAGAAAGGACAAATGCACAAATTAGCCCCCTTCTTCGCGCATTCGTCCGCGAAGCGGTTGCCATTAATCGGTCTCTCGCCAATCTCTCGCCGCTGGGCTCGAGTGGCTTGGGCCCTACGTTGTATTATCTGGATGGTCCTGGGGCCCAGCCCTCCAAGATCGCGCGCCGGAAAACAAAATTCTCGCCAGAGATTACAGTGCGCCCTGGCGTAGATTTTGAAGGACGGCATCGCGCTCCTCAGCACCTGCGGGGTAGCGCACAGCTCTGACGGGTACATCCCTTGCCGATTTTGGGGCAGGGGGAGGGGACCGACAGCTGAAACGCACACGGGTCTCCCCCGAGGCATCTAGGGTGGGGAAACTCCACCCCGCACGCTGAAGGGGGACAAACTCACCGCACTGGAGAGATCCGTCAGTGCAGACCTCTCCTGTGATGACTCCCGGGCGTTCGCCCTCCTGCGGAACCTCAAACGAAACAGGCAGAACATCCAGGGGATCTATAGGGCCCTCGGAGGTTCCTCTGGCCCAGATGGATTCGGAACCTGTGAACGGGTTTGCTCCTCTCTGCTGAACGTGCCTGCCACCAACACGCCTGCGCATGACATGCCGCGTGCTGCATACATACGTGCGGTGCCAAACTGTACCTACAGCATACACATCAATCTGTGCCAAATGGTGCACCTCGGTCCTGCATGTGACAGTAGCTAGACTCTGGGTGCTCCAAACAAGACGAAATACAGTTGCAAAGCACGCGCCTGCTGGCCCTCTCACTAGGCCCCTCGGCCTCGGATGCCCGTGGGGTCACATGACCCACGAGCGCCAGCTGGCCGTCAGGCGGCCGTGCGTAGCCATGTCCGTCGCCTCCTGCCTCGCCCTGGCCCACTCCTCGATGAGCCCCACGTCGGCGATCCCCGCAGGGTCTGCGTCCTCCATCGGCAGCGCCAGCGCGGCCGACCTCCCCTTGTTGTCGCCAGGGAGGGCCGCTGCCACCGTCTGCCTGAGCATGGTGCACAGCGTGTCCGTGGCGCCCTGACCGCGCGTGCCGTAGAGCTTCGACAGCGCGACCCCGAGCTTGACCACCTTCTCCGCTGCGCCTCCTGCGGCCTTGACCCTCTGGATCTTCCAGCTCCTGGCCTTGGCCTTCATGATCCTCTTGGACTGGGCTTCAGGACGAGGTCGCCGTGCAGCTGACTGGGTCACGCCCAAATGCACGGCCTCTCGCCGCACTTGAATGCCCATCTGCTTGTGCTGGCTGCCAAGCTGCTGCTCCACTCCGCCATGCGAGACCACGTCTGCGGTCTTGCCGTCGCTGCCTCTCGATGCCTGCATCTCTAGCACCTGCACGCAAGCGAAGATGAACTCGTCTGTCAGCTTCGTGTGGAGCGCCGCCATGGCGGCCAGATCGCCTCGGTTCGACGCCGCTATGTCGTCGGCGTATAGGTGCATGTCTGCCCACGGGTTCGCGACGTAGAGGTCGTCTATGGCGCCAATGGGGACGAGGGGCAAGTACAGCGGGCCGAACGCGGATCCTGCCACGATCCCTCGCGCCCAGACTTTGCCCTCGGTGTAGCGCCCGTTCAGCTCCCCTCTCCTCATCAGCATGGCGGCGCGCTGGTACGTCTCGCCCGCTGGGACTGCCTCTGGAGGCTCACCGAGTCTGGGTGTTGCCTCTCTCGCGTTGTGTAGCATCAAGGGCTCCCACGGGACCTTCGACTTGGTCCACTTGTGCAGGGCCCCCGCTGACTTCTCGCTGTGGTTGCGAACCCATGCCCTCCTTGGCTTGGTGGCTTCCCTGGGCTCGCTCTGCTTCGCCTCGTCCGCCTCACTAGCCGTAACCCGCTGCCAGTACTGGAGGTTTCCAGGCACTCTGACAGCTCCTGCGGCTCATTCATGCATTCCATGGTGGTCTCAAGAAAGTGGGGCCACGGGGTGTTTAGCTCCTCGCCATACTGGTATAGCTGGCCGAGAGCCCACTTCTGGGTCTTTGCCTCCTTGATGGACATGATATGGCCCGCATCCTGGCCTCCTGGCTCGCACGAGCTGCTGCTGAGGATATGAACCAGGTCCCGCAAATGACTCGCCACCCATTATGTTGCCATAGTTCGCGCCGCCGGTGCTCCCTTGTCCCTGACCGCTGGGGGCGCCAGCTCTCGCTTCTTGTAAACAGCCTTGTCAGGCAGGTAGGTTATGCCCATGCGGCTTGGCACCGCGATCATCGCCCCCGCCCTCGTGCCTGTCTTGTTAGGTGCGCTGGGCACCACTGCCGCCTTCCAGCCATATTTGATGGGCCTGGCCGACAACAACTCCTCTTGCTTGGGCACCAACTGGAGCTCCTGGCCGAAGACGACTGACGCCTGGACCTGGTAGCGCAGCTGGTGCAGCACCTTCTCGAGCTGGTTCGAGGTGTTCGCATTGTACGCGATGAACACCCGTTTGTCCGCCGTGATACTTGCACACTGCTCTGGTATGTCACTAGGATCTCGACAGGCTCGACTTCCGCATCGCGAAATGGACCCTATCAGCCATATCAGCAAGAATAGTATGCAACATCTGCCCGTGCTTCTGTACTCCCTCGTCATTGGCACGGGCCTGCTTGAGGGCTGTCGCGATCTCGTGGGGGCTTGCCTGGGCCTGGAGCTGGCGGATGTCCTCGCCCTGCTCCTCGAGGCCTGCACAGGCTCGCCTCTTGTAGCATGTGCGGTTGCCGCTGAGGTTTGCCCCATCTTCGCCACCGCCATCTTCTCTGCAGCGTTCGCCTTCTTCTTAGCCGCGAGCGCGTGGGCCGCCTCCAACTGCTTGATGGCCTCCGCGTCTTGCTCCTCGCCATCCGTCCCCATGGACTTCTTGGCGATCTCCAGGTGCGCGCAGACCGAGCCCCCTCCCTTGGACTTGGGGGCCTGACCAGCGGCTTCTCTTTGCCGCGGAGGGACTCGACCTTCTTGACCACCTGCTCGGCCTTGTTCTCTGCGATGTGCAGCTGAGTCTTGATGTCCTCGAGCTGCTGCTTGAGCTTCACCACTTGGGCGTCTGCCTTTGTCTGTGCTTCCTCTGCTCCACGGAGACTGCGGCGCACGGCCGCTTCCGCGTAGCACGCTGGTAGTTGTACTTCTTTTGGTGCCAGCAACCCGTCGATCTGTTCTTGCAGCTTCGTCGTGGCTTCCGATACGAACTCCATGCCAGGTTCCTGCGCGAGCTGCCCGAGATTTTTGAGGCGGGCCCTGAAAAACTCCAGCTTCTTCGACAACCCTGGCGTGGTCTCATCTGAGGTGTCGCCATCGGAGTCCTGGTGCGTGTCCTTCGAACCGTCGCCCTGCCCGTCACTCTTGGGCATCTGCCGAGGCTTCTTACACCAGTAGCATACTTGCGTCCTGTCCCAACAGTCATCAGTGTGGCACGCTGCGCAGGTCCACATCGCCAGACCTCTGGGGCATCTGGTTGCTCGGGGCGGCAGTGCCACTGCCAAGTTTGCCGCACCCTGCGACACGAGAAATCTCCTGGCACCTGGAAATCCTCGAGCCGAACAATGGCTGAGGAGGAGGAGGAGGAGGAGGAGGAGGAGGAGGAGGAGGAGGAGGAGGAGGAGGAGGAGGAGGAGGAGGAGGGGGAGGGGGAGAGGAGGAGGAGGAGGAGGAGGAGGAGGAGGAGGAGGAGGAGGAGGAGGGAGGAGGAGGAGGAGGAGGAGGAGAGGAGGAGGAGGAGGAGGAGGAGGAGGAGGAGGAGGAGGGGGAGGAGGAGGAGGAGGAGGGGGGAGGAGGAGGAGGAGGAGGAGGAGGAGGAGGAGGAGGAGGAGGAGGAGGAGGAGGAGGAGGACGCGGGCAGGGTTCGGATCTCGCCGCCGACTCGCCCCCGACCCGCGCCCCCGGGTCTCCATCGCCGTGAGGCTGCGCCGCACGTCGGCGGCCTCCTGCTCCAGGGTGAGCTTCATGTCCATCAGGTCCATGCTCTTGGCCGTGCCCTTCAGCCTGATGCAGCCGATCACGAAGGCCTCTGGGCAAAGCGCGAACTGGACCTGGTCTTCCGTTTTCGTTTCCGGCTGGTCTTCCCTCGTTCCCTCTTCGTTCCGCCGTTGCTGCAGAACGAAACCTGAAAGAAAACGGCCCATGGAATCACCAAAAACACCGTTTAGCTCGCACTCGGCCTCCAGGTTGACCTTCAGGCGACCTCCAGACGACAGGACCGAGAAGAACTGCTTCGCGTCCACCAACTCGATGCCCAGCTGCGAGGCAAACCAGATCATTTCTGGATCATCAACGTGCTCCAAGAAGTCTTCCAGTGTCACCTCCCCTGTGTTCTGGCCGTCAAACTTGAGGAAAAACCTTCGGAGCTGCTGGACGTAAACCTGTCTCTGCTCCAGCTCTGCTTGGATTACTTCCTGTTGGTCCCTCTGGGCGTTGGCCATGGTGGCCTCTACGAACAAGCTCGTCAGGGTGTTCGTGACAACGCAAAAGAAAAAACCGACGTACACCAAAAACAACAAGACGAACTCGCTTCCAACCGGACGCAGACTGCTGACCATCAGGTCCCAATCAGTGCCGCCCAAAGCGGCGGCGTACAAAGAGTACATCGAGCTTCTGCAATTGCCCCAATACTTCAAGAGAGATACCTTCGTCGTCGCATCCACGCCGTCTCCCTGCTCGCGCAGGTGATCGGCAGTGGCCTGCAGAAAGCACAACCCGAATATGAACGATACGTTAACAATCAGTATCATCGCCCAGAACACCGACTTCATGCAACCTAGAATTGCGTTCAGGATGAGGCGCAATTCACGGAATACACGTAACAAGCGTATCACCCGCAAGAGTTTCAGCATGCGCCCGATGCGCATGATGCGGAGGAACGCTGGGTTCGCCGAGCCAACTGACATAACTATGTCCTGGAGCGACAACAAGACGAGGACTGTATCAAACATATTCCAACTCAAATCCCTGCTCAAGAAGAAATGCACGCGGTAAACAAAACCCCGCATAGCCAGCTCGAGAGCATACCACGCAGTGAGCAGAATTTCTACCCAGAGCCAGGTGTTGGTGATAGTGTAGTCCTCACGACCGATCTGATCGATTTCCAGATCGGAGGCGTACGCGATGTAGACCGCGTTGGCCAAAATCACGACTGCCGACAACAACTCGAACTCCTTGCTCGACACCAGCCCGCCCAGGAGTCCCGGGATCGGGCGCGGGGCCTCGAGGAGACTCACCTGGAAAAGCAAACAACTGCATAAACATTAACTTTTGGAGCTCCGATCGAAAATCTTGGATCTGCGCTGGACCCCCTGGCGCGCTTCGCGCGCCAGGAAAGGGGGTCCCGCGCAAATCAAAGAAACCCGCGAGGAGCTCCAAAAGTGTGTGTGTATGCTTTTTTTTGTCCCTCGATCACCTCAAGGCGCTCCCAGCATCGAGCGAAACGCCCCTCCCATGAGCCAGAAGAACGACACAAACGACATGACCCTAAACCTTCGGACGGCCGCGTGGATCTCTTGGATCGGGGCGCCGACATTCCTCTCTAGCGCGCGGGGCGCGCCAAATGTGGCGCGCCGGAGGCGCCGCCAGGGGGGGGTCCCGTGCCGACCCAAGAAACTCGCGCGGACCTCCGACAGTTTTTATGCCCATGCCGACTGTGGTTCTCCGATGAGCTGCTCGGGACGCAGAAACTGTGGGCCTTGAGGCTTAGTGGGCCCTGGATACGACATGGGGCCCTTTTTGGAACAAGTCCCGTCTTGCTGTTTTTGTGCAAGTTCCGGCGCCGTTTTTTTTCCGGCTTCGTCGCCGTTTCTGATGCCGGTTCCGGTTCTGGCTCCGATTCCGAGACTGTTGGTTCGCCGTTCCTGGCTGCCGGCTTTTGCTCACCGCTTCCATTTAAAACGGCGACGCAGCGGCCCTGCCGTTTCCGGGGCCCACCAAGGCCTTGAGGACCTGGCCACTGTTCATCACGCTGTCTGGCGATATGACATGGCCTGCCCCAGCGGTCACGCCGGGGGGCGCCCCGATGTAGCTCGGGACACTCTTGGCCTTAGTCATGAACGATGGCGACCTCGAGTCCTGCGCGCGCGGCGGGGTGAAGGAGGCTTAGGTCGGGCACATGTCGCAGGCAGACTTTAGAAGGAAAATAACAAGTAGCCAACAAAAATCCAAATGGGCAAAAAGACACTGGTATCGACACAGAGACTCCGTTTTACTATTTTTGATTTTTTCCTCCTGTACAGCCGGCCCTGATTAGTAGGTCGACCTTGGCAAAACAAGGGTATCCTTGTCCTGTGTCTCGCAACCCATGCCCCGTACATTATTACGGCAATGTGCCCTTCGGAAGGATATTGTGTCCTCTCGCGTACCCTGTCCAATCAAGCCCGACCGTAGAAGGACATGCCCGACTTAAAAGAGGGCTCACAGAAATGCGGGTCCCGCGCCGCTGGTGGGATTCGGGCGGCGGCGGCGAGACGCGCGATGGCGAAGAGCGGCGAAGAGGAGGAGAAGGAGGGGGAGCGAGGAGGAGGAGCGAGGAGGAGGAGGAGGAGGACGAGGAGGGTGGAGGAGGAAGAGGACGAGGATGAGGAGGAGCGAGGAGGAGGATGAGGAGGAGCGAGGAGCAGGAGGAGGAAGAGGAGGACGAGGATGAGGAGGAGGGTGGAGGAGGAGGAGGAAGAGGAGGAGGAGGAGGCGGAGGCGGAGGAGGAGGGGGAGGGGGGGGGGGGGGCAAGCGACTCTCGTAGCCCGGGAGATCGCCAGACCGTCGCAAACAGTCACCCATAGCTCTGGGAAGCTCTTCTCAGCGGCGAGCCCAGGGGGGAAGCGAGAACGGGCAGGCCTTCTCAGAAGGCTCGGAAGGCCTCGGGCCTTCTGAGAAGCGTTCGATCCGTCTTCCCCGAAGACACATAACAGTAACCTCTCGAGGGCCCGACGAGGGCTTCTGAGAAGACCCGCCGCCTTCTGATGGGGGGGCGATACATGGGGGCAGCGAGGGCTGCAGAAAAGGGGCCCTTCAGGGCCCCTCCCTAAAGGAGCCCTTTCGGGCCTCCGAGGTGGCCTTGAGGATCCGAAACAAGCATCTTTCTTCGCCCCCCATTATCGTTAGGTCAGGCATGTCGTCCTACAGGGAAGAAACATAGAGCACTCTCAAACACATTACACAATAGCAAACAAAAAACACGGCACATCGTCGACATACTATTTATCAGTATGTTTAAACACTCATCATGTAGAGGGGCACGCTCGATTTACATGTATCGCCCCTCCTACTTCGCGCCCAACTTCTCCTTCACACTCCCCCCAGGCGCGCCGCCGCTCTTCTCCGCCCCCACTTTTTATCGCCCTCATTACAGTCGGCCCGTATCCTGAGGATGCGCGATAACGGTGCAAATTGCCTTGGACGCCCATTCCAAAACTCTTCGACGCGGCGCGGCCAACGAAAGTGGCCAAGGATGGACCGAGGAAGCAAGGATGCCTTTGGGAAAGATGCCCTTGGGAAGGTTGCCCGTGGAGGAGGAGGAGGAGGAGGAGGAGGAGGAGGAGGAGGAGGGGGAGGAAGACGGAGGAGGATGGAGGATGGAGGAGGAGGAGGAGGAGGAGAAGGAGGCGGAGGCGGAGGCGGAGGGAGGATGGAGGAGGAGGAGGAGGAGGAGAAGGAGGATGAGAAGGAGGATTAGGAGGGGGAGGAGGCGAAGGAGTAGGAGGAGTAGAAGGAGGAGGAGGAGGAGGAGGAGGAGGAGGAGGAGAGGCGGAGGCGGAGGAGGCGAGAAGGAGGAGGAGGAGGTGGCGGGGAGGAGGAGGAGGAGGCGGAGGAGAGGAGGAGGAGGGGGAGGCTGGGGGGGGGAGGAGGAGGAGGAGGAGGGAGGAGGAGGAGGAGGAGGAGGAGGAGAGGCGGAGGAGGAGGGAGGCGAGGAGGCGGAGCGGAGGCGGAGGAGGAGGCGGAGGAGGAGGAGGGGGGAGGGGGAGGCTGGGGAGGGGGAGGAGTAGGAGGCGGATGAGGAGGGGGAGGGAGAGGACGAGGAGGAGGAGGAGGAGGAGGAGGAGGAGGAGGAGGAGGGATGTAAGGGTACCCACGTGGCGCGCCGCCGTTCTGCTCCGCCGCTCCTCTCCGTCCGCCTCCGCCTCGCCCTCGGGCGGCGGGCGCCCTCGGCCGCGCAGGAGCTCCACCGCGGTGCCGCGGGCGTCGTCGTCCTCGCGGGCGCCCGCCGCCGCCGCCGCCGCCGCACGCCGCCTCCTCGGAGAGGGGCCTCCCGCGGAGGGGGAAGGACCGAGAGGAGGGCAGCGACGAGTCCAAAGACCACGACGACCATGACGACGACGACGACGACGACGACGACGACGACCATTACGACGACGACGACGACGACGACGACGACGACGACGACGACGACGACGACGACGTCGGCCACAGCGGCGGCGCCGTAGCTGCCGGGGCAGCACGGTCGGCCTCTTCGCGGCGTAGGCGCATCGCCGATGCATCGGCGATGTTGGCGTGAGAACAAGTCGGGCTCCGCACCGAGCCGCATCGCCGATGCGTCGGCGATGCGGCGCGAACCCCGACACCGTCTGCTCAGACGCCATTCGGGAGACCTGGATCGGAGCGGACCCAGACGTCTGGCCGCGCAATTTTTTTAGACATGGGCCCAAGGAGGTCTGGACAACTTCCTCAGGATCGGCTTCCATCCTGAATCGACGTCTGACGGTCCCGAGGCCCGGCGACGGGCCACTGGAGGCGGAAGAGGGCCGAAAACCCGCCGCTCCAATTCTTCTTTGGAGCGTCGGCACGACGAGGGCCCTCCCCTTGGAGCCTGCTCGCCCTGCCTGGGGTCTGCTGGACGGACTGCTCGGCGCCACCTCCTGGGGGAAGACGGGACAGGACGGACCCCAGGATGATGCTGCTCCAACCTACTTTAGCCCTGAGCGGCAGAACAAATCTCGAGCACCAACAAAAGAGCACCGAGACTGGAGGCTTTTTCACGTGTCGGGCCTCCGGAGGCGATACTCGTTCGACACCGCTTCGATACTTTTCTGGGTGCTCGAAATCATGTTTGGGACGTGGTCCGTAAGTACGATTAAGTCGGGCATGTCCCCCTACAGGGGGATTTTGGACGAAAGATAAAAATTATTCCAGAGCGACCCTACCTAGGAGTTGAAGCCCCGAAAAGAGCAAGATTAGTAGTAACGGCAAACGCCGTCCTCCTCCTTCTCCTCATCGTCGCAGTTGTAGCAGTAGCGGTAGTAGTAGTAGTAGTAGTAGTAGTAGTAGTAGTAGTAGTAGTAGTCGTAGTAGTAGTAGTAGTAGTAGTAGTAGTAGTAGTAGTAGTAGTAGTAGTAGTAGTAGTAGTAGTAGTAGTATATACATCTAGACCTACATCCACATCTACACCTACAGCTACATGTGCACATGCATCTACATCTGCATCTACATCTACAACTGCACTCACATCTACATCTACATCTACATCTACACCTACATCTACACCTACATGTACATATACATATACATCTACACCTACATCTACACCTACATCTAAATCTACATATACACCTACATATACGTCTACATATATGCTATGATATGCTATGCTATGCTGCGCTGTACTATGCGAAACTAAGCTATATGTTATACTATGATATACTATGTGATGCTGCGCTACGTCATGCTATGCTATGCTATAACATGCTATACTGCGCTATGATATACTGCGCTATGATATGCTATGCCATGGCATGGCATGTTATGCTATGTTGTGTTATGCTATGCTAATGCTACGATGCGCTAAGCTAAGCTGAGCTAGGCTAGGCTAAGCTAAGCTAGGCCAGGCTAGGCTAAGCTAAGCTAGGCTAAGCTAAGCTAAGCTAAGCTAGGCTAAGCGAAAGCTAAGCTAAGCTACGCTACGCTAAGTTAAACTAGGCCAAGCTAAGATGAGATAAGCAACGCTAAGCCAAGGGGACGTAACTGGGGGAACCGCGGGGCGGATAATGGGGGAACCGCCCGGGGCGCTTTCCACTACCCGGCCCCTTTAAGCCCAGAGAGTAAGAACCCTTCTAGGCAGAGCCTAGGTAGGGAATTACTCAAAAAAATACTCCCAAATGGGCAAAAATAGTATTTTAAAAAATCGTCCCCAGACGATTGTTAACTATTTTTGAATATTCCTCCTGAGCGGGACAAGGCAAGGAAAGGCAAGGCAAGGCAAGGCAAGGCAAGGCAAGGCGCGCAGCTCCGGAGAGGCCCGACATGGGCGCGCGAGCAGGGGGGCCTCAGGCAAACCAGTCCGCGCACTGCTTCGTCATGCTGAGCCACACCTCACGGTCATGGGCCAGAGTCATCCAGCTGCCCTTGCCCTCGTCCACCGCGAAGCGGCGCAGAATCTTCCCATTTCATCCACCGTCTCGTTAAAGGCCGCAGGATCTGCGCAGAACCGGACTCTCGGCGAGCTGCTGACCAGCCGGCTGAGTGGGACAGGCCCGACTTAACCTTAAGCACGAGGGGAACATCGTAACCCCAGGAGCCTGGGGGGCGATTTTGAGCGGCTCTGTGCTGAGCGGGTCGAACTCACGCCGACGAGCGCCGGCGGCGACGGCGGACGCCGACAAACAGCGCGACGGACGCCGTCGACCGACGGGAGGCAGCGGTGGCAGCGGCCGACGGCGGATCGGGCTGGGCGGAAGGGGGGGATCGAGGAACGGGCCCCTCGGTGGGGCCGAAACCAGCTGCACGCAGCAGATTTCGTGACCCCCCCTTTCCCTATCCTCCCCCCTCGTCCGGCCCGAGCAGACGCGGACGGGTCGAGCACACGCAAGAGTGACCCTGGGTAAGAGTTGTGCTGTTCCCCTCGTACTTGAGGGCCGCGTCCCAAACACGATTCCGAGCACCCAGAACAATATCGAAACGGTGTCAAACGAGCATCGCCTCCTAAGGCCCGGCACGTGAACACCTCCAGTTTCGGTATTTTTTTCTAGTGCTCGAAATTCTTTCTGGTAGTCAAGGCCAAAGTAGGTTGGGACATCATAAGGTAAGAATGACCTTTGGTGGGTGGCTTTCTTGGGGGGGCGCGGGGTGGCCAAGCCCAGGCGCGCAAGCCGCTGCTGCCGCCTCGCGGTCAGCGATCGGGGGGCCCCATTGGGCCCGCATCAAAGGTCACTCCGGCCAACGGTCACTCTTACGCCTAGTCGAACGGGTGACGACGGCGACGGCGGCGCCGGCCGTGCCGAACGACGTCGTCGCCGCCACCAACGTCGTCGCCGACCACGTCGTCGCCGAGCACGTCGCCGCCAACCTGGATGCCCTCTGATCTATTGGTGTTCAGTCCGCGGCCCCAAAGGTGCCGACCCCTTTCCCAGGGGTAGTGTTCCTAGTCGATCCGTTTCTGATTGCCCCGGGGCCCGATACTCGGGCCCCCGGAGGTGGACATGAAAGAGGAAAAGCGGTGGGCTTGACGAATACAGGACCATCGGAGATCTGGGTGCAGGAGGAGGCGGGGTGCAGGAGGTGGGCGGAGGAGGAGGCACGGAGGGGGAAGGAGGAGGGAGGAAGGGAGGGAAGGCGCGCGAGTAGTGCTCTACAGTCGGACCACTAAGGCAACATGACATCCTTCCACAACATGCGACCCTCCGCCGGCCAAAACAGACAGAACACCCTGGGGTACCCTCTCCAGGATGCACAGGAACATCCAGCAAGCACGAACAGCACTAGAGTACCCTCCACGAACCGACCTCGATCTTATACCTCCGTCCAACTACATTCGGCGGCGAGCGAGGGGGGGAGTGAGAAGGAGAAGGCCATCTCAGAAGGCGGCGGGACTTCTCACAAGCCCTCGCGCGTTCTGAGAAGTTGTCTGTGTCTTCGGGGAAGGCTCACACAAAACAATTTCTCGGGAGGCAGGGGGACTTCTGAGCCTTCTGAGAAGACCCGCCCCTTCTCACTTCCCCCCCGGGCGCGCCGTCGACACATTCAGAAAGAGTACCCGACACAGGAAGGTTGGGTCCCCCGTTGTGTCTGGGATATATATATATATATATATATATATATATACACACATATTTATGTGTATATATAATATAATATATATATATATACAAATACAAAAATGTCTATATATACCACATATATATATATATGTACGCGGGCGGCCGTTCGAATCGAGGCTGGGCCAACGCAACACGCCCTCGAGGAGGCGCGGCCGCTGGCAAAACGCACCCCGAGGCTGGAAAACCCTCCGGGAACTAACGAAAACGTGCCGCCGTCGCCGCCGCCGTCGTCGTCGTGATCGTCGTCGTGCGTCGTCGCCGCCGTCGTCGTCGTGGTCACTGTCGTCGTCGCCGCCGCCACCTCCGCCATCGCCGCCGCCGTCGTCGTCGTCGTCGTCGTCGTCACGCCGTCGCCGCCGCCGTCGTCGTCGTGGTCGTCGTCGTCGTCGCCGCCGCCGGCGTCGCGGCCGTCGTCGTCGTCGTAGCCGCCGTCGCCGTCGTCGTCGTCGTCGTCGCCGTCGTCGTCGTCGCCGTCGTCGTCGTCTCGTCGTCGTCGTCGCCCTCGTCGTCGTCGTCGTCGGAGATCTGGTCGCCTGGGACGCGGGAGCTCTCGAACCCGCTGGAATTTGCTGCTATCTTTGCGATATACGCGGCGATGTTCTGGTACTGCCCTTGTTCGTACGACGTGGAGGATGATGAGGAAGACGACGATGAAGAGGACGACGAAGACGACGGCGTAGCGTAGGAGGAGGAGGAGGAGGAGGAGGAGGAGGAGGAGGAGGAGGACGAGGAAGAGGACGATGAGGAGGAGGACGACGACGACGGCGTAGCGTAGGAGGAGGATGAGGATGAGCAGGAGGAGGAGGAGGACGAGGACGAGGAGGAGGAGCCGCACCCACTTGCGCGGCGGGCCGTCTGTCTCGGCGCGCCGCCCGAGCGCCCGAGCGGCGCGGCGACCCCCGCCTCGCCGCCGCGGGCGCAGCACGCCCTCGCGGCACGGCGCCGACCGCCGCCGCCGCGCGGGCGGGCACGGGCCTACGGCCTCAGCCGCCAGCCCACCGCGGCGCATGCGCGGCACGGCGCAGGCCGCCGCCGCGCTGCGCCTGTGGCCGCGCGCCGCCCAGCGCCCTCCCGCCGCCGCCCAGCTGGCCGAACGGCCGCAGCAGTGCCCAGGCTGGGCGGCGCGCCGCCCACGATCCTCATGCCGTTGTCGGCACCTCCT